ACACACATACCCACACACACACACACACACACACACACAAACACATCTATACATATTTTATACTTAATGAGTATATGGCCGATGCATTACCCGGAAGAAAATGTCAGTCTCTTGTGTCTTTCATTACAGTACTCGTATATATATTATTATATTCAATTTGACCAGAATTTTCGTCCTCCGTCTCATCACATTAAAGTAATTTGAATATTACCAGAGTCTGCGGTGCAGCGGTAAGGCTCTTCATAGTGGCATGCAGAAGACCTGAGTTCGATTCCCATTCCCGTGTTTGAGGATTATTTTTTTTTTTGGGGGGGGGGAGAGTTTTTTTAATATTTTGTTCGAGTGTATTATATTCATCTTTCTGTTGGGAAGTCGTATCCTTCTCATCCTGCATTAGATCTAATTAGCCCTTAAAAGCAGGGCCGAAGCTCGATCGTCTCCTAAATGATCTAAGTCGTGTCGATATGGTTCGCATATCACCTACAGTAATTGGGTTTTTTTTTGCTCCAAATGCGGAACACGACCTAACACTTTTCACGAAGCACTGACGGCCAAACGTTTAACTCTTCCTTTAAGATAGCCACAATAAATGCACACTAGATCTAGGTACTTTTGCCGGGATTATTTGACTCTTGCGTGTTGAAGCTACAGTGATCTTAACCCACTGCAACACACAGATTCGTGATTCGTTGTACTAATAATACTACCTACACCGAAGAGAAATGAAAGAAAAGATAAGAAAACTGGAAACTGTGAGATAATATAGAGATAAAGGCCGGCTTACGTATGATTTTCAACCGGAATGGTCTCTCATATTATGTGTCACGACACGGTGGAACTAGGCGCTCGTCAATATTTGGGTCTACAGAATTTTAAAAATATAATATTATTCTTTAAGCCTATTTACTTGCCTTGATTTTGACGAATTAAATACCCACCTATCTTGAACAGAAGTCGAGATATTTGCAAATTGAAAGAGGTGGGGGTTGCCTGGTGCTGGAGGTAAAATTAGCGAGAAAATGGCTACCAAAGGTTGGTAATTTCCAAAGCTTGAGTGTCCTTGGAAGCATACACGTACATTTCTTTGTGCCTGCGACATACAATTTTCAGTAAAATCCTCACAGAAATATCCTAAAAAGGCGGAGAAGGTCGGTTTCTTTATTTCATTTTTTTTGGACGAGCACCTGATTTCACCACGATGCCACACGTATTGCAATGTAGTGCATTGGAGGTACCGCCTCATAAATGACCAAATAGTGTTGATAGGGGCGTTAAACCTATTCCATTTCAACATTTTTAGATGTCGGTGGTTTGGCGGTTAGACGCTTGGTTGTAGTACAAAGGAGACCCCAGTTCGATTCCCATGTTGGGAGAA